TGTGTCTTAGCATTCCTTGCAAGATCGGTGTGAGGTTATGCCTGCCAGGAATCGGTAGAAGGACATATTTGTAGTAATAGCCATACCCGTTCCTGGAATGTGGTCAATTTGGGCATGGTATTATGATGTGACCTCTGCTATAGGGTAATACAGGAGCAGTTGCTGAAAAAGATGATGTTCCTGTATGTTTGCTCTCACCCCTAGCAACAGTGTAAAAATTCCTGTTGTGCCTGCAAGAAGTGTTGAGGAGCATGTATTGCCTGTTGTAGATTCACCCTGTGGTTGTATGGGTGAATCAAGTGAAAATGAGAAAGAAGAGTGAAGAGAGTAATAGCCTCACCAGCGCACTGAAGTGAGGTTGGATATGCCTACTGCGGTGCTGCATAAGACTGTCCTGAATGAGCTGTGTGCTGGGACTGATGATACAGTCATTAGAGAGACTGACTGTAACACTGTCTGGAGTGGGAATGACGCAAGTTGGGCAACCCACCAGATATTTTGAGAGACTTGCCTCTACATAATGTGTTGTGTAGTGGGGAGGCAAGAGTTAAAGATACATGTGAAAATGTGATGTTCTATTATAATGCAAATGTTGACTTGATGCTTAGTGCTTATGAGAGTCAATAATACTGAGTAGAAAAGCGTTAAAAACGTGACAATGCGATGTTTAATATAAATGCAAACTGTGATTTTGAAGCTTAGTGCTGATGAGAGGGTTAATATTGCTGAATTAAAAAGTGTTAAGTGCATGTTCTGAGATGATGTATAAAAATGCGTTATCTTGTAGAGCGTTGATGCGGGCGGGTCTGGCAGCGGTGAGCGTGAGTTGGGGAGGAGGTGCGGCGCGCAGCGTGTGTGGAGCCGTGAACAGGGCCAACTGATCGGAAGCCGATTAATCGATTATTGAAAAAGTTGACACTTTTTCAATAATCGATTATAATAGATTATGTCGATTAGTTGTTGCAGCCCTAGTTATCTGCAATCAGGAAGGATGCAGCAGAAGTATCTCTGGAAACCTTAGTGGTGCTCAATAGGTTGGGGCCAGAGGTTCCTTGAAATAATTGCGGTGCTGACCTGATGGGTCACAGTGTAATTGAGATGTCAAGTGATAATGCACAGGTGGTTGATTTAGTGCCACCAGGTAACAATAGTAAAAATGTCTCTGAAGGTAAACCTGAGTGGACAAAAGGGTGTGTGTGTTTCAGGCACCAGGCCAGTAGTTTTTTTGTACATTTAGCCCTGCTCCGGACAAGCAGCTAAATGTACAGTGGGGAGCTGCCGCTCATTTTTATACAAGTGATCTGATCAGATCACTTGCATGAAACGAGCAGCGATCTTGTCTGGGCCCCAATGCTAAAGCCTGATAAAGGGACCCTGTGTGGCCCTGAAAGCGCTTGTTCATGTAAAAAGGAACTTCAATAAATGAGTTTTGCTATTCTAAAATGACTGGTGACATTTCTACAATTTTCTGATATTTGCAGCGCCATCCGTAGTCACTGCGATCACCTCCCTTTGGGGGGGGGGGGACCCGGGACCACGGCACATGAGCTCACCATAGAGCCCGTAGAGCAGACGAACGACCGTTCTTCGTCTGCTTTGTGTGATAACTGAGACGGGAGCGCTGTGATCACAGTGCCACCTGTCTCAGCTGTCAGGAACTGCACAGAACATCTGTTCTGTGTTGAAGGGCACCTATGTGATAAGAATAAAATTAAGGGGAGGGAGTGAAAAATAATAAAGTAAAAAAATAATAAAAAATTTAAAAATAAGTGATAAAGTATTAAAAAAAAAGAAAACCAACCCCGCTGCCCCCGCCATCTGCATGCAAATAAACGCACGCGTAGGACATTGCGTGTGTGCGTTGAGTGCTGCCGCCATTCAACTGTGCGCCATATTGTGGTAGCCAGGCAACAGCAGAACTCTCACCACATGCGCGCACACACACACACTGTGCATTAAATGGTAAGTTCACTTTCCCTGGTAATATGGGAAAATGTAATTACCTGATCAAAGCTGGCCCAGTCCTTACCCATCAACAGTATATAGGTACTATCTGTACCCCGTACTGCTGTCCAGCGTAGTCTTGCCCTATGCATTTTGAATTTCGCTTGCAAATTGCTGATGCACCCATACAGAGTATTTGGGTGAGAGCTTGTACTCGCCCAAATGCTCCGATACCTTCCCCGATACCGGAACTTCGGTCAGAGGAAGATTTCCACTGACTGACTGGCAGTGCTGTAGCTGCCTGGCTTCGTGATTGGCTGGGAAGCTGGCTCCATGCTGATTTGGCTGGGAAGCCGGTTTCCTGGCCAATCACAATCAAGCCTGCCAAACATGGACTCAGCTTCCCTGCCAATCGGGAAGCCGAGTGACATGTCATTACCCGCTGCCCGGCTTCCTGATTGCCCAGGAAGCCTGCTCCATGCCAATGGAAGCAAAAAAAAAGGTACTCTTACTCGATACCCAAAAAACGGTATTGGTGCATACCTAGTTTTGATTAAAACTATATTTGTTTGTATTGGGACAAGTAGATTGTCATGAGATTCGGCCTCCGCTTTAGCCCTTGGACAAGTATTTTTTTTTTTAAGTGTGTGTGTACACACACACACGGCTTGAAAAAAATCTGCTAGTCTGTGATGAGAGGACGGTGGAGCACGACGAGCAGCTTCCCGGCCGTTGTAATTACACGGCCGGCTGGGAGCTTTACATTCAAGTGATCGGGCGCCTCTAGAGATGCTCGATCGCTTGTATTAGCAGCTGTCACTGCCGTTGCCGTTCCCGGTATTGCTGTGCCCGATGCGACCGGGACGGCTCTTTGACAGGAGATCAAAGGGAGTTCAGTATACAAACTCCCTTTTTGAGCTCCTCTCAGTCCCCGAATGCAGGAAGTGATGTATATTACATCACTTCCTGCATTCAGTGTCACTCTCCAGCTACAGAAGCTGATCTCTGCTTCATCACCTTCTCTGGGGGTCCATAGGTGACATTAGGGGTCTTGGAGACCTGTCATGTAAATTGGCTATCACATAGAGGGCTTCTTAGCCCTCCATGTAAAAGCAATAAAGTTGTGTGTTTTAAAAAAAAAAAAAGTAATACAAAAATTAAAGAATCATAAAAAAAAAGAAAATTAAGTCCCCCGCCCCCCACATACACACTCAGATATGTTACATATCACCTACTATTGTGCCGGACATGTTGCATATCACCGCAAACGTCTGAGTGAGAGCAATAATTTTAGAGCCATTAATTACTGATAACACTAAGGCCTTGTTCACACCAAGCGTGTTCCATTAGCAGAGCAGTTACAGACCGGATCAAAACTGCATCCAATGTATTCCAATGGTATTTTGGGCTCTAGTTCACATTGCAGCATTCTGTTCCAGAGCATGTAAAAAAACTGCAGCATGCCCTATTTTACGTGCTATGGAACACATGCAAACGCCCTGGAACGCACTAAAAGCCCATTCTAAACTAAAAAAAATATATATTTTTTTTTACCAAAAACGGCCCGGAACGCATCAAAAAAACGGCACAACCCACTTCACTGCATGTGCAGAAACTCATGCAGATCTGGTCTGCATTTGGTGTGAACAAGCCCTAAACTGATGAGCGGTAAAAGCGTCTATGGGCAATTCTCAGTGTGGTTGTTTTTTTGATGTCTATTTACCCGATGTGACCCCCGACTTTTATGCTTTACCAAAAATATGGGTAAGAATATTTGTTTTATAACCTAACCTTTATAAACTTTGTGGGTTTTTTTTACATTTACGGTACTTTTTTGTGATTTTATATACCACCAAAAGAAAGCTATATCTGGTCCCAAAAAAATTTAACATAAATTACAAGGCGATAGTCCGGTCATGCTGACTGGTCAAATTTTTGGCTGACTGGTGAGACACAATAACATTTTTCAAGCCCTGTATATGTGTATATACTCTCTCTCTCCCCCTCCCTCCGTTCATACAGAGAGCAGGACCGCGCTTGAAGGTGTCGTCGTCAATGACACTGGAAAGATGTATCTCTTGTCTGGTTAAAGAACATTTTTGTAGCCTGTCCGTACATACTGAGCACATAATGTATGAGTGACCCAAAGTACAACAGTGGAGAAGTATTGCAGCTAACATTTTCCATGGAATGTACATACAGGAGCCACGATAAGTTTCAGGTTGTAGTTTTAACTATGCAGCGCCAGTGGTGTGATAGGTACACCATTGGTGCTCCTCCAGCTTAATTTACCCCTGATGAGTTGTTGTATCCCTGGGTTGCTGCTCTGTTGGAAGCGGCTCCGTGTGCTTGCTTCCTCAGATTGCTATATGTCTTGGTCTCCCTAGGACTGAGATCACTTGCAGAGAGGCCACTGATCGATGCGGGATCAGACACAGCGGTGATTGCTGGAAGTAGGTAAACAGCAGGAGTTAAATAGCAAGCGTGATCTGTGTGCTGCATTGCTCTGAACTCTCTGGTTATTTTTCCCCCATGCTTCTGCTCTATTTTAAGTAATGCAAAGCCCAATAGAGGTCAGCTGGAAGTGACTGTCCTGTATACAGCTGTGTGACACTCTGTCCGTACAGTATGTTCCCTGCAGAAACTCGTGTGTATCTTTTGGGTTCCCTTTTGGCTATCCTGTCTTATTACTCTCACCCTCTTCCTTATCCCCGGCTTTCACGTTTTCACTCCAGCTCTCCACCGCCCTCCCTTCTTGCTGGCTACAGCTGCTCTGTTTTGTGTTTAAAAAAAGATTTCAAAGTGCTTAGTCCTGTTTGTGGAAGCATTAAATGAGAAGAAGTGTCATATGCCTCTGGTGGTAAAACGGCTGCTTGTGAAAAAAATCCTCCCCTGATCCACACTTCAGAGCAACAGCCAAACCCGAACGCTTTGCACAGCGGAGTCCTCTGCTCTCCACACTGCGAAGATTTGCTTTGTCAGAAATAGGATGTGACAAATGTAGCTTCAGAAGCTCTCTCGGTTCCTAAAACACATTTCTTTTTTCTGTTTTGTAGCTGGCCTCCCTTTGCATGTTGGCTTGCTGTAGCTGTCCTCGGTGTTCACTAAGAAGAGTCCTCATACCCTCCGGTAAGCTATTCTCTATTGCTTTTATCTGCTGTGTGCTAATGTCAGATAGAACAGGGTGCAGAAGAATTTCAGTCATTTGTCCACGTAGTAGTAAATGTAGCTCTTCCCAAAACAGCTGTATGCATGTACTGTTTACCAGAAGTATGGTATGGTCTCGTGTTGTCCATTGCAACCAATCACATTCTTCTGTAGTAGGTTAATGGAGTGCAAAATCTCAAATCTTGCCCTTTTTTATATATTTACAGTTTCCCAGTAATGGGACAGTGCAGACAATCCTGATATTTTTGTTTTGGATGGTTGCATTTGCATTAAAATCCTGCCAGCTTTGTATATTCAGTATCCCTGACAAATGCTGATAAAGATAGGTGCTTCTGAATTGTCAGCTTCTTCAACCTGTATAGGGGAGTGCGACTTTGTTTCTTTGGATTATTCATTGCTCTGTTACATCAATTGCATAGAAAATCAGCAATACAGATTCATGCAAGGAGGAGAGATTGGATCCCTAACAGGGAAATTGCATCACAGTAGTTCCTGTGACATATCAAGTCAAGTGGGTGATTTAACCCAACATTGTCTCTCCATAACCTAAATATCCCTCTTGGGTGGGCTCATCCTGTGAAAGACGTATATCTATATGAATGATTTAGATGCAACAGTTGGTATGCCACAAAAACAGTTGTATTAGATCAAGCAGTGAATGGGAGGGATGGTTTCTTGTAGTCCAGGGCACAATTCAAGTTTACTGGGCATTTATTATTATTATTACATAGTATTTTTATATAGCGCCAACAGTTTGCACAGCGCTTTACAATATAAGGAAGACATTACAGTTACAATACAATTCAAGACAAGATGGTAAGGAGGGGCCTGCCCGTGAGGCCTTACAATCTAAAAGAGGAGGGGGAAATGATACATGAGGAGGTAGCTGTGTGGGGATGAATTATTTGAGAATGTGATGGTTTAGTGGTTAGGTCAAGGTGGGATAGGCTTCCTTGAAGAGATGAGTCTTTAGGGAACGCCTAAAGGCAGTCAAGGTGGGAGATAGACGGACAGGTTGGGGTAAAGAGTTCCAGAGGATGGGAGAGACTCTAGAGAAGTCCTGGAGGCGAGTATGGAAGGAGTGGACAAGGGAGCTGGAAAGCAGGACCTAGGGAAGAGCCGAGTGATATATACAATGGTATATATACAAATATATATATATTGTATATCATATATATTGTATATCGTATATATTGTATTTAATATGTACACATACAATATATACGATACACAATGGAGCTTGTATATCAATGATATACAAGCACCAATTACATTTATTTATTACATGTATTTATATAGCGCCAACAATTTATGCAGTACTTTACATACTGCACATCCACAATATGCCCTCAAGGAGTTTACAATCTAAGGTTCCTATCTCACGTACGTACTACACACATGCCAGGGCCAATAAAGACCGCAGCCAATTATCTTGCCAACATGTTTTTGGAGTGTGGGAGTACCCGGAGGAAACCAACGCCAGCACAGGCAAATGCATGTTTAAATGTAAAGAAATTGTCTTAATAAAACAGCAGTACCAGGCACAGCGTCTCGGTAGCTCGGTAGCTACAGGGCTTGTGTAGGCAGCCATTGTTTATAAACTGCGTTTTCTAATCAAAAGATGCATCTCTAATATATATTCTTTTGGGTTCATGGACTGCGTTCGACCAGCTACAACACAAACCGATCTCATTAGGACCGGCTACAACCAGAGAAATTCAAAGCATGTCAATACAGCCGCAGAACAGTTATCAGCATGAAACCATTAAAGTTAATAGAAGTTTGCCGACTTGCAATTAAATGGTCATTCAAACGCAACTTAGATTCAGGCAAAGAAAAACCCATGTCACAAGCCCTTGTATTTCACTCCCCTGAATACTACCGTGATGTCTGGGGAAATAAGTGTTGGTATTGACCTGTGGCATTTACTGAAAAATAATAGATATATTGTGCAGCGTGATTAAGCATTGATTTATTGGCCAAGTGTGTGCAGCATTGAATTCCCAATCACTCTGTCAGCCCTTATTTGTTAAAACAGGGCACAGGGGGTATTTGTTGTCTTGCCCATCATCATACAGGTTTAAAACTTTCAGGTCATTTTTCTTTTAATTACCAAAACATAATTGGGTCCCTCATGTAACCTCTGTGGTTGTGGAGCTTTCCCAACATTCGCTGTTTAGTAAATGTGCACAGCTTAACGCTTACGCATACACGCACGCATATGTGATTTAGCTTCATGTATCTCCATCCATCACTATTTTTCTTATTTAGATAGCGTGAAGAAGGGTTAGAACATGTCAGTTTTTATTGATGTCTGTGTTCTCACTGGGAAGATCTAAATGCACTATTTGGCCCCATCCACACTGAATCCGTTAGCATCCGATTTTCAAAAGGATGCCAATGGACGGTAACCCTAAAAATATAAAGGTGTGAATGGGACCAGTGACAGTGCTGTGCTGCTTTGCGCTACGTTGCAGTGCGCTTACATAACCCAAAGTATGCTTGTCAAAACAAAAAAATTAAAGGAACATAACAGAAGTCAACAGAGGTTGAAATTGCAAATCATTGGACCTCAGTTGACCTATGTTTTGGTGTGAATGGGCCCTAAGTCCTGGTGACTGCTGTTACCGGAGAGAAACTAATGAAAAAAATCCAAATTAGAATAAAAGTAGAGAGGAAATCTTTGAATGGGGACACTTTTATTGAGAGTCTTTAAATGGAAAGTTAAGGTAGAGCTCTCCTTTACAAATCTAGCAATAAAAACATAGTTCTTGATATGTCAAGTCTATCCAAAATAAAAAAAATTTGGGGCTGGAGTTGCAATTTAACAATGATCATCTTATCGATGGTTATTTTAAAAAAAAACTGGTTTCTATGTATTATTTTAAATGATGTGTACTGGTTGAAAATCTTCATTTGTTTTACATAAGCAGGATCTGCTTCATGTTCAGCAGATACAACCAGTGGTGTATCCAGGGCATGGCATATATGGCACATGCCCTGGGCGCTACTTGAAGAGGGGGTGCCTGCCACTGTGTGTCGGCGCATGTTCCCCAACCCATGAGGACAGTTAAAGTTTCTTCTCTCTGGTAGCTGTTCCCCAAGCTCCTCCTGGCAACCAGTAATTCCATAGGCATGTTTTATTGCAGATACGCCTCTGAATACAACATTAGTTGTACCATGCTGTTCCTCTTATCTGAATTGATTCTCTGGGTCAGCTCAAACTCATGGCGATGTTTTGAAAACTATAGATTCTCTGAACAGGTTTGTTTTGCTGTAATCAATGACTGCAATGTCTGAAAATCAGGGACAGGGTATGATACATACCTATATGTACACAGTGGACAAGGATCACCCACTCCAGCCATGCACAGTTCTCATCAGTTCTGGCATCTGTACAGTGGACTGTACTCTATGGGGATGGAGCCAAGGTCAAACAGCACTCTGGCTTTTAACAAAGATTTTTTTTTTTTGGCAAATAAGTACAAGGAATTCGCAAAAAAAGATCACAACAAAGTAACAATACACCACAAGGCACAACACAATCGGTTACCGCACACCAGAAATATGATAGACAAAAAGCATAATAATCAAGGTCATTCCAGGGTTCAGGATGGCTCCAAAGCAGGTTGTAAGTTACATGTGCACCTAAATGCAGGTATATGCGCATATATTTTCTTTTTTCATCCTGCGGGCCAAAAGAAGAAAATATAACGGATTCCTCCATCAATGCTTACAAGTGTTGATCGAGAAATTCCCTGCCATTTGCACCAATGGCCTCTGTCAGGATACCCGAATAGAGATTACAGCTTGATGGGCTGCAAGCACAGTTCAGCCAAGAATTTTCCAACCTGCTCCTTCAGTCTCCTAATCGAGGGATGCAGAGTGGAAGGGTTGAGCCCTGACGAATCTCCCACAATTCCAACCATTTATACCCCGCAGTCTCCCGTCCTGGGATCCGGTGGTCTAAGCTCCGCTGACGTTGTCGCGTCTAATGCAGTCCACTCACCTGTATTGGACGCAAGGACACCAGAGTGGATTGGGAGAGAGGTGAGCGGTCACCGCCACATGACCAAGGATCAGGTTAGTGTCTCTTCTGTATTCTGGCCCCTAGAGAAAAACTAGCAGTTAACCCTTGCAGTGTGGGGGTAGCCTCACTGCAATGGTTTTTTTTTTTTTTTTAAACAACTGGAGTTCATTTTCAAGGGCTGTAAGAGAGAAAAAAGATTGGGGAGGAAAGGAGAAAGATGGGGCCTAGGAAGTAGGAAACTACTAGGAATTGGACCACCTGGACAGGTAAAACCTATTACAGGCTCAGTAAGGTATGGTCAAACCCACTAGATTATAGCATACGTCTTCAATTGACTTTTCCCTACATCTCTCCCCTCTTCTGAGTGCCACAGTTTTGTGCTTTTTGTTCTTGTATAAGATTGTAACCATTTGGAATGTCCAATAGCAACTATTAGAAACCAGCTACTAGCATTTTCCTGTAGCCGTGTTAATGATAGGTTGTAGAGATTTGATTTCCCATGGCGCTGTTTGCTATAGTAGCCACTTCTTGTTGGGCTCAGCGACAGAACATAGTCAGCACTGTCGCTAACTAAATTACAGGCTTCGAGAGCAGCCGTAATGAATGTGATTTGTTGGCAGCTGTAATAATTACAAATGATAGCACAGTGTTCCAGTTCTAGTTTCTGTAAGAGCTGCATGATGAGCGACATTCACATCAGCTAGTTAGAAAGCCCCGAGATCAATGGCAGGAAATTGATTGCGGTCCTCGGTTGGGTATTAAGTGCCGGTGTAGGAGAGCAGTCGCAGCACACGGATTGGGATTTTTTTTTTTTACTAGGTTAACAAAGGAAATCTGTCTTGTGGGGGAATCTGTATGTTACCATTGCTAGCTTTCTTCTGAAAATGTCTGTTTCCTCACTAAGGTGAGTCTCCAATGTGATATAAGAATGCAACAAGTGACGTCAGAACGCCTGATCTGTGTACTGGTTTCATTTTAGTGACCCAGAAAACACTGAAGTCAGAAGCTCAGCAAGAATGCCAGGCAACTGGTATTTTCACAAGGAGATCAGGAATAACCATAAACAGTATTTCAAATGACTATTTCTTTGTCTTTTAAAAGCTTCCACTTAGTTTAAAGCAGGGCTTGACAAATTTTTCTTTTAGTCCAGGAGCCAGCTAAAAAACTTAGGAGCCATATTTTGCAGGGGACAGGGGGCATTAATTTTTCCTTTTTTATGTAGTTTTAATTTAACTTTTTATTTATTTATTTTTACTCCTTGGCGAGGACGGGTTCTCTTAAAGGTGACATTAGGGGTCTATTAGACCCCTAGTGTCCCCTTTCCACTTCAATAGGCTTTAGCTGGGGAGTGACAGTTGCCTGCTGAGGCAGCTGAATGTAGAAACAGCAGACAGTAGCTGGGAGCAATAGCAAGCCTGCTATTGGCTATTTTTAATTGCAGTAGCCAATAGCAGGCTGGCTATTGCACCCACTGCCTGCTGTCAATCAGCAGAGGAGGGGCCTGAAGAAATTTCTCCTTCAGGTCCTCCTCTGCTGATTGGCAGTGGGCAGGTTCAATAGTCACCCTGCTATTGGCTACTGCAATTTAAAATGGCCAATAGCAGGCTGCCTATGGCTGCTGGCCTCTGAATTGAAGATCTATGGTGGCTGGCAGCAGGGGGAGTGGGGGGCGGCACGGGGGAACTGAACCTCAGTTTCTTTTCCCACCGCTGCGGCCACCACAATAACTATGCCCTCTGACGCAGACCGCTGCAGCCGATTACAGCCTGTGAGGAGAGACCGCTGACAGTCTGAGCCTGCAGTGGGGAGGAGGAACAGCATAGTTATTGCAGCGGCGGTGGGAGAAAAAATGCAGTGAATGGGCTGACAAAAGCCCAAGCGCCAGGACGCCATTCTAGTCGCATTGGCGACCTGGGATTTGTTGAGCCCTGGTTTAAAGGCAAAGCTCACCTTTTAGAAAATAATAAATGCACACTCCTTCATGAAGAAAAAATGTACATTGCAGCCAGTAAAGCATTGCAAGCGTGATCAGTGGATCATGGGTTCAATGGTCTGACTCCTGCAGATTCTCCCTTCCATCCATGTCTGTACCTCAGTATTGACATTCAGTAACAGGGACGGGTGGAAGAATGAATGGGCTACAAGTGTGGTGACGTCACTGCACTTGTATTCCATTAAGAGCTAAGTCCCTCTGCTGTGGTGGGTGATGGGACTCTTAGTTTCTCCGTTTGCAGATCCTGTCTGTGAATGGATGATGCAGCTATGCGAGTGGAGCCGGACCGAATAAAAAAAAAAAGAAATCCCCAACCTGTGGCGAGAAAAAGCCCACAATTTAGGTAAGTGGGGGGCAAGGGGCGGGTCTGCAGTCTGACCATGTTCCATGTTACGCCCTAAATATGGAGGAAATGTGAACTTGGCCTTTAAAAGTCCTGAGATGCTTGGTGTTTTGCTTGTTATGTAATGTTGCTAGCGTTTTATATACTTTTTATTACTGTATTCTCCCTTCTTAGTCATAGCTCTGAAATGTGAGGTTGAATCCTTAATTCTATGCTAGTCAATGACTTTTATAGTTTCAATATATTTTTATCCGTGCGTCTTTTGTCTTGCTGCTTCTGTGGCAGTTTGTGCTGTTGTGTGTTTGTCTGTCCAATTAGTTATAATTTAAAGTGACCCTACACTGAGGAGTTAAATCTGAAAAATACATTCAAGTACCTTAATTATTAATAAAAATGTATCTTATTTGTGTATCACTCGGCTGTAGATCCTCAAATCATCTTTGAATTGGTGCTGACACTGTCCTTCCTTCTGGAGGGGGGCTACTTTTGTTCCCCATGGTCCCTGTGTGTGTTATAAAGTAGTCACTGCTTCAGTGATGGGCTACAATCTCACGGTTAGTTTACTTATTTGTATTGAGATTGTAATCCATCATAGGAGTGAGCTTGGAGCGGTGGCTATTTTACAACTCACACAGGGACCATGAGGAACAAAAGTAGCCCCCCTCCAGAAGGAAGGACAGTGTCAGCATTTCCTCACCGTGTTACCTCTGGCCAGCATTATTCCTTTCATCTAAAGCAGGGATGTCCAAACTGCGGCAAATGAGGCTTTGCAAGATTCTCACAGCCACAGACATGACTCCCGGAGAGAGATGCTTCATGGGATTTGTAGTTTCAACACAGCTGGAGGCCTGGAGTTTGGACATCCCTGATCTAATGGATGCAGCAAGGTTACAGTAACTGCAAAATGTTGGTATTGTCGTGTTGAGGTGTGCAGTTGCCTTTCGTGTTTTATTTCAGTGATTGGTTGCAGTACTAAAGATTGTTTTACACTTGGTGTGAAGCGGCACTCACAGGAGATAAGGTTTTAAAGGTTATTGAAGTCTCTGAGCCCCCCAGATAAGTGTCTGATCATTTTTTCACTTGGTTGAAACGCTTTACTCAAAATCTTTCTTTAGTAATCATGAAAAACTACATTGAGGGCAACAATAAGGCACGGTGTCTTAGCCCATCGCATATGTTCTTATTTCATCTATTTAATGTCGGACTGAATTTTTATTGGTTACACAGCTGACCCCATTTTATTTTCTGGGAACATTTGCATTACAATCCTGCTGTGCAGTTGACTGGCTTGTTAGTGGTGTGATGACATTAAAAAGTGCAGATGATTTGTGTGATGCCCAGGCAGAGACCATGTAGCAAGCTTCTTCATTCAGACAATGACCAACATACAAAGCTACTTCATTCACCAGACTTCAAACTGGATTCCTGTAGGTTGTTAGTCTCTAAACTACGATTAGGAACATACATTTGGGTTCAGACATTTTCTGCTGAATGAAAGTATTTTTCTGAGATAGATGGAGTAGATGGAGCAGCTGTCCGGTTGGAGTGGTTGCTTAGGCTTGAGAAGTTTGTCGAGCACTTTGTGACCTTAGATATTTTTGTCCTTCCAGGCTTTGTCAGCTGCTGTCTCATTAGCTAATTTGTTTTTTGTTTTGTTTTTTCTCCCCCCGGTTCCTTTCCCAGCGGTAGTGTTGGCTCTTTATCATCCAGTTGAGTTCATGAAAGGCATTTTTCGATGTGATCTGATTTACCCTGACTTCTGATTTCCATGTAAAGTGACATTGACAACCATGCATGCACACGGTCAATTGGGACAGTAGCACAAAATATTCTCTGAATAACTGCTTTATATGTTGCTATAAATATGGAAGACTTGAGAATTTGATTTTACCTAGTAGGTTTTATTAGATTTATACTAGTTTGGACTATTAGAGAAATGTGTTCCAGCTTTCAACTTTAACCTTACTGTATAGGTATGGGATCTGTTATGTTCTATCACCTAAAAAGTTCTGCTTAGTAATATTTAAATTAGAGTACTGATTACTAGCCATTTACTCTTACAATTACTTTGTGGAGCATTGCTTAAAGAAGAACTCCAGGAATTAAACAAAACTTACCATTGCATTGGGGTTACCCCTGCACTTTAAGGGCTAAGTTCTATTTTTGTCAAAGCAGATTTACTTACCTGTTCCTCGATCCCGCCTGGCTGCTAGACCTTGACCACGTAGCTTCTTCTCCCCGTCTCTCCGGCAGTCTATGGACTGCTGACGTCATCACATCTAATGAAGATATATTGACTTGCGATAGATGCGAGTATTCTACAGCCGCAGTGGAGGGGGAGATAGATGAGCAATGTCCAAGGCTGTGATAAAGTTTAATGTCAACCTCTGCACACAATGAAGGTGGCGGTTCCATGACTGACCATCATTCTTATAGTCTCCTTGCCTATGAACATGTATTATTATTCATACCCATGAACATGAGGGTTAGCTGTATGACCCAGAGATTCATGTAACAAGCTGTTGTAGCACTGTAAAAAGCCAGATTCATTTGGCTACACATATACGAAGGGTAAAATGGAATTTTGCACTACATCACAGCTCTGTTTTCTCAGTGGTTCATGGGTCGGTTGATTTTTTCTGACTGGAGATGTGGTTGAAAAGGTGGCCTGCCAAAAATGTAATAACTCATGGCAGATCTAACCCCACCAGGATACCTGATTCCTTCTCGCATGGTGCAACAAGAGTTCTTTATAATGGCTGCACCAGATGAGCAAAGATCTAGGTGGCAATGGTCTAGTCTTGTCTCGAAAACCTTCAGGCTGTCAGCGGCTCTCTGTGCGATCCTGCCAAGCTCAATGACGTCACTGGTTGCCAGGAGCTTCATCAGGACGCCAGCCAGAGCGTCCTGGTCAGTTCCCTGGCAACTGATGACTTTAGTGAGCTGGGCAGGAAATTGGATGGAGCATCCCAAGTTGCTAAGTGCTTTTGGAAACCTAGGACACTGTGGGCGCCACCGTGGACGGCCCTGAACTAGGGGAACCCAAAGATTAGCAGTAAGCATCTTTTTACATCTTGCACGCATCACTCGATGTGTGCAAGATGTAAAGCACTTTTTATTAAATCGTCACATGCGTCATACAGCCAACGTTTCGGGGCCACGCAGGGTCCCTTCTTCTGGGCGACATAGTCCCCAGGGAACGTCACACAAGAATCATCGGCAGGCCCCAACACTAAAGAGGATGTACAGATTTTTCTGCCCTTCAGTTTAGCTGAACCCTTCTACTACGTGACTGTTGGTAAATTTTGCTGATTGAACAAATTAAATCTGCTAAATAAAATCTGATTGCATGGCCATTCTGAAAAGCTAGGTGGCGATTTGACCCACCAGAATCCTAAATTTCAGTTTTAAGTGGATTGACACTTTAAAAAAAAAAAAATCTGAACATTTTTGTTATTGTCATGAAAAAGCAAGTACAGAAATTTAAGAAGATTTACATTAAATCTTCATCTCCAAACAACATGGTTTATCAGCCAGAAGAACTGGGAGGCTTTGTCCCTGTTACATGCTAACAACATTTGCAAATGTTTATCTTGTAATTTGTTGCTAGCAGTTAGAAAGCTCTCAGTAAGGATTTTCTTTTTTAAACTTGAAACGATTTTAGAGTAAATAAAAGTAATAGTATTTATCCTGAGAACAAATCTGAAGTGGCTCACGTCTTGCAGTTATTTCAGCTGTTTGTCTGCTCAGTGTGTACGCCTTGATCTGGGCAAGAAGTGATTTAAATCACCCGTGTGGACTGCCGATATGGGGAAGTTGGTATTTTAAGGGGGAGAACTGGTCACATGTCCACACTGAGTATTGCACATGTGCAGGTCGTCATTCATAAATAGCAGTCGGCACGTATTACAGCACGTTGGGTGATCCATGTAAACGTGGCTGTAGACTTTAGAGGGCAGTTCTATATTCTGGACAGCCAGAGAGTTGACTTCTCTATTTTGCAGGCTAACCCAAGCATGTATGTTTGTGCCGTTGGAAGCAGGAGGTGATGTACAGCTGGTTATCTACCTCGAACCGCTTAACTTGAAAATGAATGGTGGCAATCGGCCCAAAAAAAAGACCCAAAATAAATCTGCTGCATTTCCTTTTGGTCAATCTGGCAGGGGTGGTTGAATGTGGGCTCTTGGTCGTAAAAGGTGTGATGGTTGTGGGTGCAAAGGACTAACACAGAAGAAGGCAACATTGGCACTCAGCTGAACTGAAACTGCAAATCCCATCATGTATCTGCACCTGGGAATCATGCCTGTGACTGCCAGAGTCTGGCAATGTCTCATGGGTGCTAGAGGGCTGAGGTTGCCTATCCCTGGACTATGGTGTTGATTTATAAAAAGTTAATTTTTTTTATAAACCCAGGAATGCTCAAATGTTTGCCTTTGTAGTGCCTCGAGGTTACTAAATGCATTCGGTGAAAAGGTAAAATCTAATTAGTTGCTTTAGTTTATTGCCTTTTTGTACATTGTACTTCTTGAATAAGCCTGTTTTTTTTCCTTTTAGTGGGGAAAGGTTTGAAACCCTGACATGTTTTTACAACTAGAAGGGGCTCCATTAGAGAGTTGTTCTATCTAGGACTCCCTTAGAGAGTTGTCCTCGCCTCCTGTCCTATCTAGGACTCCATTAGAGAGTTGTCCTCGCCTCCTGTCCTATCTAGGACTGCTGGCAACATTTAACCAGACAGGAAATAAGGGTAACTCTTCAATAGCAAGACTTTAGTAAAGTAAGGAAAGGCCAGAAGACCTGTCAGATTTTTATATCCTTGTGGCCTTGTTGCAGAACTTCCCTACTTCCTGTCTAGTGAACCATTGTCAGCAGGACAGGAGGTGAGGGTAATTCTTTATAACAATAAAAAAAAAATCTGACAAAGGTTGTAATCCTTCCCTACTATACCTAAAAGTAGAGACGTTTTTGATTTGACATACACTTTAAGCCAGACATGACCCGACTGGTGAGGTGCTCTAAGTATTCCATGTGGCCCTCTGTTGCTGCACTGTAAATGCATTAGAATTTATGTTGTAATATGATGTACATTGTGGTTGTTTGTTTGTAGTGTGTAGTTTGCTATATTTAATTTTCTTTTTTTTCTTTTTTTTAGGTTCTGCTAAAAGTTTGACGAAGCTGAGCTGAAGTTCCTTCTGTATAACTGTGTTTTCGGCAAAGAAATCTGTTTGGATTATTTCTATAAAACATACAAATACAAAAACTGTGGCACTTTTTTTATTCAGGTGCTGCAATGTTTGTGCAAAGAAGCTCTTCTATTTTCACCTGGGGCCCCGCATGGTTACACGTAAAGACAAATGAAATAAGACGCTGTGTTTTACAATTTGCAGATAAGATTCAGAGATAATTTACAACATCTTTCATCCTCCATCTCATCAACTTTGACTGGAAACCGACACCACCCGCTGGCTCACTCTGTGAACTGTTGCCTTAGCAGTTCTATTTATTCTCTGCATGCGTGTGTTTTCGTTCTGCACTTCTGTTTTTATTATTTTTGATTCATACCTGTGGGCCGTGACTGATCAGCTAGAAATTTAGAAAATCACGTTTCTAAAAATTGATCACTTTCTCGTATCTGGATTAACATTCATGTTATGTGGATTGTTTTGATAATTGAGTACTCAAACTACAGAATGGGGGAAAACAGTTAAGTTTGACTTGCTATTTACACCTATTTATTTATTTTCCTCATGGCGGCACCTTACAAGGTGATTGTGAGTAAAATCACATGTTACAACAATGTAGTATTGGACAATCGACTGCAGAATGTAATTCATTATTGTCCAGGTGCTTGCCAGGCTCATCGATTTGGAGTCCAGTGTCTGGTGGCCCATCACACTGTGTGTTCAGAACTTCTAAAAGCTCCGGAGACCACTTTGAGCCATGGTGGGGATGTTACAAATAAAATCACAGTTGGAGAAAGTGCGTTTTGTGGTGAGGACTATGCTCACTTAAACCCCCGGGTTAAAAAAGCCTCTACTGTACAGAGTACCAGCAGCTTAAAGGACATAACGGGTGAAGCCATCAATCTTGCTAGTGGAAAAGCCAAGGAATTTTCCTTTGAAAAGCTAAAGAATGCTCCAAACCAGCATGTCAACTTCAGGAAAGGACGTAAAGTCCGTCCTGAGTCCTTTGGTAGAAGGTCAGCTGATTATGACTTTATATTCGGTCAGCTTGGCAACAATGAGAACTGCCCTCCCCTTGGTTTGTTACAAGTATCAGAGGAAAAAGCATTATTGGCACATGGTACATCTTTGGAACAAAGCATTAACAACATGGCCACATTATATCTCCAAGAACTGTCTGAGGAAAATCTCATAAACCACATCCTGAAGAAGCACAAACTTGATGGTTCAGGATCTGGAGAAGACATAAAAATGTGCTTGGACATACTGCTCAAATGTTCTGAAGATTTAAAGAAATGCACCCATATAATCAAACAGTGTATCAAAAATAGATCAGTGGGAGGGAACAGCAGTAGTATGGGGGAGGGAAAAGGTGCTGACCATTTTCCAAATCCTGAAATTATTTATATGAATGTGATGGCAAGACTGTCATCCTATCTGAAAAAGCTTCCCTTTGAAATGGAACAAGGACTCACTGAACCTAGTGATCTGGCTGAACTCGTAAAAAGCTTAAATAGTCTACAGCAGCATCCATTTTCACCAATATATGGTCATGAACAGCCTCCTAAATATGAAGATGTTGTCCAGTCACCTCCTTCTCTGAAAGCCATTTCTTCATCTTCTAGTGAAAAACAAGAATCAATGCCACAAAGCACCAATGATAGCACAGTAAGAACGACTCCTGAAATTGCCCCTCCCCTGCCTGCAAAAACTTGGCAAAGAGGCAACAGACAAATCCCGGCAAGTTCTGTAAAAAATTACTCTTCATCGTCTCAGCAAACCATGCCCCCAGCACAAATGCCCAGGAGTTCAGTTGAGAAACTTTTCATTGAAGAAGATTCAGATTCCCATACTGCTCTTAGTTACCATAAGAGGTCACCAAGTGCACCAAACTTATCAACATTGTCAGACAGCAGACGCTGGCCCAGTGAAAGTCGGCTTTCTCAGAAATCATCTGATGTTCAACATCCTGTAGAGATGACTCTGAAGTTTTCTAGCAGTTCATCTCATTCTCCTTCTAGTAATGGGAGTACTAAAGCAGTCATACCCCAATGTAAAGGCAATACAGGAATGCCACCTAAAGTGGTTAGAAGCAATGATCATGAGGAAATTGACAAACTACTTTTGGACTTGGAGCGGTTTTCTCAGAAAATTGAGAACACTTTGAAAAACCCGCCACTTTCCTCAACTGCTCACTCTAGAGTGCAGCATGGGTCATCCGTCCCTGAGGAGCACAACTTACAATCAGCTTCATCAGCACAGGCAACGGGAACAACCACAAATAAATCAGAGGAAGATGACAATCTTTTGTCTCGTATTTTGGGCAGCATTGAGGACTTTGCCCAGGAGCTTGTAGACTGGCGGTCAGGGAGAGGAACCCTGTCAAAACAAAAGGAAGTCATGCAAATCCTTCAAGAAACCATAGTACCTCAGAGCCCATTGCCCTCCCCAAGTAGCCAAAATCTATTCAAAGACTCTGGGTCCACTTTGTCAATTCAGCAGACACCTGAGGTAGTCAAGGTAAGTGTTACTTTATGTAACATGCCTGTCAGCTGTGATGAATTATTGTGTATACTGTAGCACCATAAAGCAATGACCATGTTCAAGTGACACTAAACTCAGGAGTTTATTCTCAAAAATCCATTCAAGTACCATAACTGTTAACAAAAATGTATCATATTTGTTTATCACTCGGCTGTAGATCCTCAAATCATCTCTGAATTGATGCTGGAGGGTGGCTACTTTTGTTCCCCATAGTCCCTGTCTGTTGTATGGAAGTTATAGTCCGTCACGGGTGTGAGCTTGGAATGGTGGCTACTTTACAACACAGGGACCATGGGGAACAAAACTGGCCACCCTCCATAAGGAAGGACAGTGTCAGCACCAATTCAGAGATGATTTGAGGGTCTACAAGTGAGTGATACACAAATAAGATGCATTTTTTTTTTAGTAGTTAAGGTACTTGAATGTAATTTTATGATTTACCGTATTTTTTGCTCCATAGGACACACTCCCCCCCCCCCAAAGGCGGGGGAAAATGTGTGTGCGTCTTATGGATCGAATCCCTAGTTTTTTGTACATTTAGCCCTGCTAAAGCAGAGCTTAAATGTACAGTGGTAGCCGCTGCTCGTTTAATACAAGTGATTTATTCAGATCACTTGTATTAAAACCGAGTAGCATGGGATAGGAGCTCACCATAGAGCCCCTAGAGCAGATGAACGTCTGCACACTCAAGTCCTACAGTCCATTGTGGTGGTGCATAGAAATCCCTGAATAAAATTACTTGTACACATTTCTGCGTTTACATAGCACCCACAGTAACACCCATATGACATAATTGGTTAGTGTTGTGGCACAGGGCAGCAGTCCAACGGATGCAGTGTGCGGGTCTGGGACTGACACGCCCAGAAGTAGTTGCTAAGCCAGTATATGGAATACCGTGACTAGAAAGTCAAGGTGAGGAGGCTGTTTTGACCAAGAAATTTGGGGAAAAGATAGGAAAAGGCTAACTTATAGGGTGGTGTGCGGTTCTTTGTTTCATTTAAACCCGTAGTTGGCGTTTTGTGGATTTGTTTGTGACCCACTATAATGAGCAGAATCCCTATACAGTTGAAAGAGCTCTACCAGAGACGAAGGGATGCTACAGAAGTTTCCCATTTATTTAATCTCAGCAGCAGCTATATGTGATTTGCGATTTGTGATTTGCAAGCTCTCAGTAAATTTATTTGGTCTATTGACCATTTAAGTTACTTAATGGATATTGAGTTCTGCAAATTGCAATGTTCTCTTTGTTATTATTTTGTTTGTATTGTATTATAATATCCTGTTTTGAAGGATTTATATTTAGACTCGAGCTGGCCAAACACTGTATGTTTTTTCCTTGTTCAGTCCATGAAAAAACGCTCAATTCCCGTACCCACACTGGGTTATTGTGAGGCGTGGTGCTGTCAGAATACCTGACCGGTAACTGCAGATGATTTGGCTGCCATCACTTTTTTGGCTGACAAATTTCATATCGGCTCCATCAAAGTTTCATTAAAAAATCGGCTTTTGACGATGGACCACACACTGCTTGAAATTTGGCCAAGTCAGCCAAGTATGAGCAGTGCATGGCCAGCTTTAGTGAACCATGACTGGATTTGTTGGAGATATGAAATAGTGTCGTTCTGTTTTTTTATTCTACAAGTACTTGTTGAGGTTGCTTTGGTTACTTGAGTATTTCTATGGCTAGGCTTTGTTCTGATGTTTTTGCTGGTATCTCTTATGGAAGCCCTAAATAGCTGATACGCTAACTAACCAATACCCTAATTAAAAGTCACTGAATGTGTGTGCGCAATGATGCATTTTTTTACTACATCTCCTGAACGTAGCGCAGGATATTCTGAGTAATAATGAGACATCATTAGTGTGTAATTTGGCCTATGAGGTGTCAAGCCAGTACTGAAGTAATTATATTATACTGTCATTAATTACATGTCTAGTACACATCCGGATGATGTTTGAGTGAATTTAATATTTGAATTACCTGCTGGGGAAAAAAGGCAAAGTGCAGCTGAGATGCAGAAAAGTCATTGCAAAAAGCAAATGTATAGCTTGATATTATGCACACCTTACAAAATAATCATTCTAAAGGCACTGGAAAGCGTGTGGACATCCATGCATACGTTCACATGCTTGGAATTCTTTGTTTAAAATGCTATGACTGAATAAAAAAGTTAAAAAAAAAAATGCTATGACTGAAGCATTTGTATGTAAATAATCTCCGCAATAGGCATACATTTCATGATGCAGGCTTTCCTATGTTGCTTGCTCGGCTGCACTAGGATATGAATAGCTGACTCCTGGTCTCCCAGGTAACTCTAATGCACGTACACACTGCAGGATTTTTTTCTATTATTTTTATCAGTACTCTGAGATAAGATGATGGCTTTCGGTAGAATTTACAGTTAAAGAAGAACTCTAACAAGTTACTTTAAACAAAGTACCTTTGCAATTGGGCTACCCACACACTGCAAGGGTTAAGTGTTCATTTTGTCTAGAGGGCTCAAATATAGCAGATATACTCGCCTGATCCTCACTCTTGCCAGTCTGCTAAACCGGTCCTTGCAGCTTCTTCTCCTGTGAGCCCAAAGTCTAAGGACCGTTGAAGTTATTGTGTCTTATGCAGGTCCATTGACTTGCATTAACCATTAGGACGCAGAGGGGGAGAGGTGAGCGTTGAACGCCTCTGTACCAAGGTTCAGGTGAGTATATCTGCTTCAAGCCCCCTACACAAAAGAGCACTTAACCCTTGCAGTGCAGGGTTAGACCCACTGCAAGAAAACGAAAGTCCCTGAACCCATTGCACTCCTGACTGCTTGTTCCATAAGGATTGGACGGGTGCTGCGGTAGTCAATGGATGACAACTGTTATATACATAGAATAAAGTAGGGACACCAGTACTCCCAAATGCGTCTATTGATTGATGTAAATGCAGCATATCACACTGGTGCAACGTTTTCGGGATCTCGCAGGATCCCCTTCCTATCACATCCTTTGCCTGAGGAATGGGATCCTGCGAGACCCCGAAGCGTTGCACCAGTGTGATATGCTGCATTTACGTCAATCAATAGACTCATTTTATCTGCATTTGGAGTGCCGATGTCCCTACTTCTTTCTAAACCCGTTGCAGAGGTAACATTTTAAAAATTATTTTTTAGACTTCTTGTTGCAGGTTAAGACCACATTTTAGGAATTTGTATTACCTACATTATCAAATTGTGCTCTGTGGGCCATTGCAGACTATCCACATCCTTATCCTTGTACATATTCGTGCAAGTGTTACTAGTTGCATTTGGGCTAACGTTCATTTAGGAGTTTTGCGTTCTGGTCATAATTTATTGCTAGGATCTGATGACATTGTTCTCAAAGATGTTAGTTGACTAAAGTCACTGAATGCCTGTTCATAATCAACGATGGTTTTGTGGTGCGTTAATGAAATTACAACATGTGGGCCTTCATCCAAGAGAAAGTTTCACATTTAGAGCTTTATTGAGTTTGTTTTGTTACAGTGCAATGTGCTATAGGATTACACACCGAGGTTAGATGCTGTGTATAAAGAATAGAAATATATATATAAGGTTTATCTGGCATTAATTTAAAAAAAAGCGATTCCTGGGTAATTTTACCAATTACAAAATGATTAGTATGAAAATAAAGAATATGGGATGTGTTTTTATAAACCATTCGCTCTGCAAACGTCCATGTTTTAGATTTGCCACACATTAGGCCCACTAGATCCAACGAGCAAAGGCATTTCCTATACTTTTAGGTTTCTTCTAGTGACCAGAAGGCATTTTAATCTAAAACTTAGTTCTTTGAAGAACTGTGCGCTCTGCAAACGTTTTAGAACTACAGCCCTTTGTGTTCATTTTTTCAAAACTGGAGCATTGCCAGAACTTAAAGCAGACTTTTACACTCAAAAATCTAATTTCTACTAATATAGCCCTCTATGTATGATGATTAATAATAACATAGACATGTCAGGTGTAAAATGCTGTGATTTGAAATACTTTTACACTTGCAGAGCGTTCACTTCCTGCTTTGAAAGGGCAAAAGGACTTCACATTGCCAATGCAATGCACACACTGGGATTGTCTTGTCATCCGCAGAACATTGCAGGGACATCTCATCAGTAATCTCATGAGATCTCAAGGAAAAGCATTTTCCTCCCCTGAGATGATGTGCATGGTCACATGTCCTAGTCACATGTGCCAGAAGTCCTAGTCACATGTGCCAGAAATCCAGGAAGTAAAAGGAGACATAGTAATCTTCCCTTAGTAAGCAAGGCCACTGCCAGAAAACCGGGGAAGAAAAGAGAAATAAGGCAAAGAATACAAAGCCGGCAATTATCTAGAAGTATGTGTTTATAGATTGTCATTACTAAACATTTCTAAAGGTGTGTTTGTTCAATGATAAGGGTAAAGGTCCGCTTTAACAGACCTGAAGATCAGAACTTTTTAGGGCCATGCTATAACTGCACATTGTTTGTACTGGTCCTATGGTGCTTTGTATGAAATTTCCAGACATTTGAGGTACATTTATTTTATTTAGTAATTAATTTAGGGTTTGTTCCTAGCACAATTACTCTTGGGCCCCATTCACACTGAGTGACACTTACCTTGAGCGGATCCGCGCAGCCGGGATAGCGCGACTGTTCGGGGCGACGATCACGCTCCTCTTTCTCTCTCCCTCTCCCCCCTCTTTCTCTCCTCTCCCTCTCTCCCTCTCCCCCCTTTTTCTCTCCCTCTCCCCCCTTTTTCTCTCCCTCTCCCCCCTTTTTCTCTCTCCCTCTCCCCCCTTTTTCTCTCCCTCTCCCCCCTTTTTTCTCTCTCCCTCTCCCCCCCTTTTTTTCTCCCTCCCTCTACCCCCTGGCAACTCCACACTGAACAGTAACAATGTCAGAATCTTGTCGAGGAGAACTCCAGATAAATGACATTCATGTTGGAATTGTAGACTATAAAATATCTTTTTTTAGACGG